CCCGCCACTCGGGCAGGTGCGATTTCTGACTTGGGCGAAGTTCCGCCTGCGCCCCCCGTGGTAGTTTTTTCTGCGGTGCTGCTACCCCATACTAACCCGGTAGGCGGAAAGTTGCCCAATCGCAGGAGAAGGCTGCTGCTCGCTTTTTTCTTATCGTGCCTTTCCTATGAATGACTGGTTGGCTAATATGAGGAACGGGACGCTGCAATCGCTGGACCTTCGCTCTGATTCAGCGGGCCCTTCATGTTCACATAGCGCTCTCCAGTACTTAAGCTGTAGACCAGGAAGCTTAAAGAAGGCGTGGGAGGAGGCGTAGAGTTGGGCTAAAGGTGTGGCCAGGCCTGAGGAGAGAAGTGTTTCCTGAAGGAAGTAGGTTTAAATCATGAGGATTTCTGACCCTGGATTATTAGGTTCAAGAAGAAGTAGGGTTGAAGTTCAAATACTTTGCTGGATTATCTTTTTTGTTTTTTGCCAAATAGCTCAAGAGCCTACCTTGGTCAGGATCAGCAAAGCAACTCACAGTTTGCTGTTTCTGATCATTCTGCGGGTAGAGATGGAAGGGGCATTGTTAATTATTCCTCTCCATAATCCGTTAATGGAAACAATTGTAACTTCAATTACAATTGAAGTAATTGCTCCACAGCACGTCTCAGCAAGAAATCATTGCTGCATTTCTTGACTCTCAGTGTTCCTCCACAAATATTGCGGATTCAGACAGGAAGTAAAATGGCTATATTGTAATTGTTGCGCTATTAAACCAAGTTATTATTTGGTTGGGGATTTTTAACATAAAACTATGGGAAAAAACAGCTTAAATAATACCAGTAGCATGGTAATGAATTAGTAGTTACTTTTCCATCAAGATGTTAATTAATATAAGTGTTTTAATAGTAGCACACTGTAAATGTAAAGTCTTACGCTTAAAAAAAACACAGTTAAGGATACATATTTAGCTTCTTGCAAAGTAATTATTACCTTATTTTATCCCAAATTTTAATGTGATTATTTTTCCAGGGTCAATCTAGAGTAATTAATGAAGTTTTTCTGAGGCATTATCAAGAAAATATTTCCTAGTTTTTGCGAACAAATTTTAGATTATAAGCATGTTGGAAACTTAAGTATCTACTTTTTTAAAATTTTTATTAGTAAGGATTTTTGATACACATTTTATATATTATAAAGAATGAAACATCTATATGGTACACAGGCCACATTCAGATCAGTGAAATGTGCTTGGTTGTCATAATTTTTAGTCATTACCATATCCATGACATGCTAGATTTGGGACAATTTCTTTTGCTTAGTAATCCCTTACAGAACAATTTTATTGCTTTCAATTGTAATTTGGCTACCTCAGAATGCAATGTAGGTAAGAATGTAAATAAATGCAAACAATTTCAAAAGCAGACTGCCACACTGAAAGAAAGAAAGAAAGCGTCTGCTGCAGCTTTGGATCCTGGCAAGAACATTTGCCTGAGAATTATAGAAAGTAATGCAATACAAACATAACATGTATATACCTCAGGACTTGCTTTCAAGAGACCTGGGCAAAGTACTGAAAACAATAATAGTTTAAGGCTATTTCAAAATGGAGTTGTCATATAATCATACTGTATTCTTGTATTCCTATGTTGAAAACCTGTTTTAAGATACTTAATTTAAGGAACAATTGATCTAATATTTTAATATTAATTGTATTTTTTATAGAAAGCAATAGACCTTGCTAGCAAAGCAGCACAAGAAGATAAAGCAGGGAACTTTGAGGAAGCCCTACGTTTGTATCAACATGCTGTGCAGTATTTTCTTCATGTTGTCAAATGTAAGAATTATTATACTAAATATAAGTGGCTAGAAATAAGCTTCACATTCTTCTCTGTTTTAGAAGCAAAATTCTATGCACCAATCTTCATAATGGCTTTTGGAGCTCTTGGGATGGTTTTTAAAACTACAGATAACATTTGTTGGGGGCCTCAAGAGAAGATTAAGATCTGATTAAGATCCTATCTACCAAAACAAAAACACATTGGATATATTATATTAAGACTTTCTGTGGTGTCATACTTGTTGCAGGACATAAATGGAGTTGCATAAGCCTTTCCTCGCTTGAGTTTCTATCATCTAGCCATGACACACATATGTCCCAGCTAACACTTTTCTGCAGTGTCCTTATAACATCATATTTTTCAGATCCTTATCCCAACTGATCCCTAGTGTATAGGATTGCCCAGGTCCTATTGACTGTTTTAGGCAGATGCTGGCACACCTTCCCCACAGTCCCTGGGCAGTATTCTCCAAGGCAATTTTGATTTGGGGAGTGGGAAAGACTGGGTCTTTCATGCTAGGCTGTTCTATACATACTAGGCTTCCAAGCCAGTCACCAGCTTGAAGGTCCGACTTTGAAAGAGGAATCAAGCCAGTTAACAGGTGAACAGCATTGGGGAGGGCTGTGTGGTTCAGCAAGAGAGAGAGTTCTGCTGTATCACACAATTTCTTCCCCTAGACCTGTGACCTGTTAGTTGGATTACTTTTAAACATGCATTTACTGCTTTTTCAGAAGAGAGCTAAATCCCTTATTTAAAAATAGCCTGACTTAACAGCTGATGGATATATAATAGGTCCAGAGGGAGACTTGTGCTGCACCACACCATCTGTACATCTGTCATTGTTATTGGGCAGAACTGGAGCAATTTTGACAGATGACTAAACCAGCAGTTGTAGCCGTTCATCAAAAGCTGTCCTCCCATCACTATCCTGTGTTAAGTTGAATTGTTGGGGGATCCAGCAATCTCTTTCCTTAAAGTGTCCTACACATAATATATAAGGACAACACCATTTGGTGTACTGATCGGCAGTGGGGCCACTAAATTTTATTCCAGTATCATTTTCTGCCAAGGATTTATCAAGGATTTATCAAGGATAAATGGATAGCACTTTAAATGAACCCTAGTTTGAATTCTTTTCCAATTTCATGGAATATTGAGGATTCCCTTTAAAGGTAGATGTGCTCTAACTTAGTGACCAATTAAAATGTTAGTATGTGAATTGTCAGGACTTCCACTTGAAACAAGCTTGTTAGCATTTTAAGAAAGAACTTGGTAAAGAGATACTTGAAGAAATGTACGTTGTCTACCAGTGGGAGCAAAAGGTTGAAAAATGGATATATTCTGTGTTGGAAGAAGAATGCCTCCCAAAGGAAGTATACGAACAAGAAAAAGCAGTGGAGACAGGAAGTCAACTAACTTGGCAAAGAGTAACAAGGAGAGGGAAGGACTAAATATGAGTGGGGGCAGGATACATGAAGAAACTGAAGACTCTAGCATTGCTAAAAGAGATTGACTCATCTTACCTATAATCTGTGTTTTGTGCCTTGCTACAGTTTCTAAGCTATCAAAAGACCACCTAACCCTTCAAGGGGATGTTTTAGGTATTTAGGAAGCTATTTTACCTTTAATCTTACTCCAAATTGTTAGAAAGAACTGGGCAATAATTTAATTGATATTTATACTTCATTCGTTTCCCCATGCTAATAATTTTGGCCCTATTGTGTCCATTTTGTTTTCTGTGATATTATAACAACATCAGTTTTTTTTCCTAAGAAAAGTTCACTGAAGTATGGAAGCTGCACATGTTTATTTATATATCCCAATCTCTAAAAAGTATCATCCTAATCTGTTTTGTCTTTAGGCTCAAGCAAATAACCAACATTCTTTAAATCAAATAATTGTAAAGGTATTTCAGAGTCATAATTGAAAATCAGCAAAACAAGAATAGTTTATTCATTGGTAACAATATATACTGTTTTAGGAAAAGATTGTGTGTGGTTTAAGTAGCTGTTTTTTTGAAGAAGTGAAAGTAGACTTTTTCTGATTCTCAGATGAAGCACAGGGTGACAAAGCAAAACAAAGCATCAGAGCAAAGTGTACCGAGTATTTGGACAGAGCAGAAAAACTGAAGGACTATTTGAAAAAGAAAGAAAACACTCCCCTTAAACCAGTGAAAGAATCTGGTTCAGCTGATGAAAAAGGGTATGCCATCTTCATTTATTCCAAGATTAACAAATTTGTTCCTCTCTGTAAGATTTGTAGTTATAATCATGCAAGAAAAAGTACTCCCAAAATATTGTTGAGTTTTGATGAATTATCCAAGTATTACAGTGCATTCTGTATTAGTTTTGTAGAAATTACTATATACCAATTTTTTTCTTCCAATTATGTAACATGTCGCTGCTTTCCTTTACATAGTTACTGGACTTATTTCTCAAACACTTAATTCTAAGAATTATGTGTATGATTTTTTAAATTTTTCTTTCCAGAGGTGGTTTAGGGAATAATGAACATAGTATAACCCTGTTTTTATGTATGTATGTATGTATGTACAGTGGGGCAAAAAAGTATTTAGTCAGCCACCAATTGTGCAAGTTCTTCCACTTAAAAAGATGAGGAGGCCTGTAATTTTCATCATAGGTATACCTCAACTATGAGAGACAAAATAGGAGGCCTGTAATTTTCATCATAGGTATACCTCAACTATGAGAGACAAAATAGGAGGCCTGTAATTTTCATCATAGGTATACCTCAACTATGAGAGACAAAATAGGAGGCCTGTAATTTTCATCATAGGTATACCTCAACTATGAGAGACAAAATAGGAGGCCTGTAATTTTCATCATAGGTATACCTCAACTATGAGAGACAAAATAGGAGGCCTGTAATTTTCATCATAGGTATACCTCAACTATGAGAGACAAAATAGGAGGCCTGTAATTTTCATCATAGGTATACCTCAACTATGAGAGACAAAATAGGAGGCCTGTAATTTTCATCATAGGTATACCTCAACTATGAGAGACAAAATAGGAGGCCTGTAATTTTCATCATAGGTATACCTCAACTATGAGAGACAAAATAGGAGGCCTGTAATTTTCATCATAGGTATACCTCAACTATGAGAGACAAAATAGTTTCTGGATTTTTTTTCTCATTTTGTCTCTCATAGTTGAGGTATACCTATGATGAAAATTACAGGCCTCTCTCATCTTTTTAAGTGGGAGACCTTGCACAATTGGTGGCTGACTAAATACTTTTTTGCCCCACTGTAGCTGAATGGGCATACATGTTAGAATCAAGGAGCAAAAAGGGGGAGGGAATGGAATCCCAAATATCAGCGAAGAACTTTTTTATTTTTGTTAATCAGGCCAGCTTTCATTTGGGAATAAACTTTTGTCAAGCATATTTTGTGAACTTGGTTAGGATCTACTGAATTGAAATCACTAGCTAAATGATACCCATTGTATCTGTTTCATCCCTTTTTATTGTTGAGTTGTTTGGTTTTTAGTGTCTGCCCTCCCTTCCTTGCATTTTTTAAATTGTGGTAGAATACCTATTGTTTCTAATCACAAAATAGATGAGCAGTAGAATACTGGATTGAATTCAAAATTAACTGCTGTTGATTTTGTTGGATCTACTCCAAATATGATTTAAAATTGGATGCATCCATTGTATTCAAATTAATTTTGTACCTCACTGCATTTTCCTGTTGAAGGCAGAAAAACAAGTTTCATGCTATTTGGAAAGAGATTTGTAATGACTTAAGTTATTTGATTCTTTCCTGCGGCACCAGTTTTCTGAACTATAACCATATCACATTTACTGAAAAACAAGTTAGGATTGAATGTATACCTTCCTCAGTGTACTGAGGGTTAATGCTACCAAGGACTTCTGTTGTATTACATGTTGACATATGTATTCTGCCTCTCTTGTGAGCCAAAGGGCTGCCTTATGAAAATCTTCTATAATTTTGGGAGGTTTGGAAGAGTAATGAGCCAGGGTTAGAAAAAGAATCTGCTTAAGAAAGACCTAACATCTGTGTATAAACAACATTTTTGTTACTCTTTTGATAATAATATACTTTAAGATGTATAACAACCTGAAGTTCCAGTATTTCTTGATATGTTTTTTGAGGGAAGAATATTTTTGTTAGAAATGAATCGATCTTGAGCAAAAGAACCTATCTCTGTTTTAGCTGTATACTTTACTTACACCCAAATTAGGAATGATAGTGATGGGGAAGGAGAATCAGATGATCCTGAAAAAAAGAAGCTACAGAATCAACTCCAAGGTAGCCTTCCATCAAGCTCTTAATATTTTGAACAAAACATTTCTATCAAGTTGTCAGATGAAGGGTTGCAAGAAGTTTAAATATTGAGTACATTTTTCTATCACCCTTGTAATGAAGTGGATTTTAAAATTAAAAGAGGGCACATGGGGTACTCTTTAGCCTGATAAATACACTCTCTTGCTTCTTGGCTGTTTGTAAACAGTTACTGCTCTTCTCTTTCACACAATTTCTTGTTGTTTGATCCCAGCCTTTCAGTGCTCCTACTGAGCAAGATGATGGTTTGCTACTGCACAATTTGCTAGATTTCACTAATTGACTTTGTTTTATTGGCACCATCCTCTGCCACCTCCTATGCTGTGCTATGAGGACAATTCCATTATTTCTTGCTTGATGACACTAAGCAGCAGTCTTGTTCTGCCTCAAGGGAGATAATATTACAGTGCTGCTTAAAAGTTTGTGAACCTTTTTGAATTTTCAATATTTCTGCATAAATATGACCTAAAATGTGATCTGTTTTCCATATAAGTCCTAAAACTAGATAAGCCCCAGTTAAACAAATGAGTCAAAAACTTTATACTTGTTCATTTATTTATTGAGGAAAATGATCCAGAGCTACATATTTGTGTGTGATGAAAGTATGTGAACCTTTGCTTTCAGTAACTGGTGAGTTCCCTTTGAGCAGCAATAACTGCAACTAAACATTTCTAATAACTGTTGATCAATCCTGCATATTGGCTTGCAGGAGTTTTAGCCTTGTTCAGTTTCAACTCAGGGATGTTGGTGGTCTTCCTCACATGAAGTGCCCACTTAAGGTCCTCCTTACACAACATTTCTAAAGGATTAAGGTCAGGACTTGACTTGGCCATTCCAAAACATTAACTTTCTTCTGCTTTAACCATTTTTTGGTCGTACAACTTGTGTGTTTTGGGTTGTTTTACTGCATGGACCACTTTCTCTTGAGCTTCAGTTCACAGACAGATACCCTAACATTTTCCTGTGGAATTTGCTGGTACAATTCAGAATTCATAGTTCCATCAATGATGGCAAGTCATCCTTGTCTAGAGGCCCAAACCATGATACTGCCACCACTGTGTTTCACAGATGGGATAAGGTTCTTATACTGGAATGCCATGTTCTACTTTGGTCTTATCTACCACATAAAATTCTTCCAATAGCCTTTTGGCTTATCCACATGATTTTTCACAAACTGTAGATGGGCAGCAGTGTTCTTTTTGGAAAGTAGTGGCTTCCTCTTTACAACCCTGCCATGCACACCATTGTTGTTCAGTGTTCACCTGATGGTGTTCTCATGAACACTGACATTTGCTGATGCAAGAGATGCTTTCAGTTCCTTAGACATTACCCTGGGGTTCTTTGAGACCTCCCAGGTGATTCCATGCCTTGCTCTTGGTGTGATCTTGGTTGGTCAACCACTCTTGGGGAGGGTAACAATGGTACTGAATTGCCTCCATTTGTACACAATCTGCCTGACAGTGGCCTGGAGGAGTCCAAACTCTTTGGAAATAGTTCTATAACATTTTCCCACCTAGTGAGCATCAACAACTGTGTTTTGGAGGTTCTCAGAAATCCCCTTTGTTCAAGCCATGACATGCGTCCACATACCTGTGTTGTGGAACACAGATTAGACTTTGATAGTGAATACCGAGAAGTCTGTTCTTTAAATAAGGCAGGACCTCCCACAATCACCCCTGATTATCATCCCATTGATTGAAACACCTGACTCTAATTTCCCCTTCAAATGAACTGACAATCCTAGAGGTTCACATTCTTTTGCTACACACAAATATGTAGCGTTGGATAATTTTCCTCAATAAATAAATGAACAAGTATAATGTTTCTGATTCATTTGTTTAACTGGGTTCTCTTTATCTAGTTTTAGGACTTGTATGGAGAACAGGTCACATTTTAGGTGGTATTTATGCAGAAATATTGAAAATTCAAAAGGGTTCCCAAACTTTTAAGCATTGCTATACCTATGTTGAATGGTATAAGAAGGCATGGGTTGTCTTATGGATTTCACAGCAATCTGAGGGTATGAAATAAATCTTCCCTGTTTACTTGCCCTCCTGGAAGGTTAACCAACTTGCTCGAGTCTTTGCCCTCACACCTCCCCTTTCTCGGCTAACCCTAATCAAGTTAATATTCAGATTTAAAGAAAAATATACAGGGGGTTTAAATTTTGGCAGTCTATTCAGTCAAATTGCTTAGCCTACACTTAGTTTGGATTAGAATAGCTTTTCCTATAATGGGATGATCATAACTTGCTTACTTGTTTTTGTCAGAAGTAAACCATAAATATGCTGCAGTTGTGTTCTCCTATTGATTGTCAAAGATTTTGGTTCAGAAGCGAATAGGATTCTACTTTAAAGGAGATGTTTACATTTCACTTTTAAAGAACTATAGTATGGAATGTGGATACCTATAGTCTTTTGTTTTACAGGTGCCATTGTTATGGAACGACCAAATGTAAAGTGGAGCGATGTTGCTGGCCTAGAGGGAGCAAAAGAAGCACTTAAAGAAGCAGTAATATTGCCCATTAAATTTCCTCACCTTTTTACAGGTGACAGCAAGTGAATATATAATCAGTACCTTCTTGGCATTATTAATTATATACTGTCTTTCAATTAATCGTCAAGTGTTTGAGACAGAGTTAGAGTGTACCTAAGGTCATTTGAGGTATCATAAGAAAGGTACATGCAGTGTACGTGGAGGCAATACAGTTAATGAATCTCTTCTCAAATGAAGAATAATAGCTATGGCTAAATACAAAAAAATGAAAATATGGAGTTACTTGATTTGCTGTTTTTGGACTACTTGATATTACATATCTGTATGGAATTTTTTTGCTATGTTATAGAATAAGAATCTCCATTCACAATTCTTTGTTGTATATTCCTTCTGTTCTTTATACTAGTCATGTGATGTCCTCAATAGACTGTGCTAATTCTTGAACCAAAGCCAGAAATGTTTACCTTTCTTACTGAGGAACTTACTAGAGTTTTTCATCAAATACATAAACATTCAGTTTTTTAAAAAATTGAGAACCATGTAATGTAGTGATTGCAGAGTTCAATTCACACTGGAGTAACCTAAATTATTGTTCCCCGGTCAGTTTAGCTGACTTCATTTGGGTATAAAATAGGCTGAGCGGAGCCATTATGTACTGTTTCTGTTCCTTGAAGGGCAGGATAAAAATGTAATAATACTTTTCATTGTTTAAGTAAAATCTTACTCTGCTGGGAAATTCTAACTACAGAAGCTATTGATCTTCGTATTTAATAGAAGGCTCATAAGAAATGTTCAACTTTGATTTCCATTTCACTATATACTTTGATTTTCCATTTCACTATAGAGAAGATTGGTCAACACAAAATGTGTATATTTTTTGTTTTAGTGTAGCCGTTCCCAGTCTGGTACTATCCAAATGCATTGGGATAATTAGTTGCAGAATTTTAGGCAGTGTGGCTAACAATATGGGTCTAATGATTATTGGGACAATTTCATTATCGTGATGGAGATCATGAAGTCCCAGGGTCAGAGCTATTTTAGTATGAATGTTAAGTCCCCAAGTCTTGGGATTCTGTAATTCCACTTCCAAGACTGTCATGGCTGAATATGTAATTTGATATATGGAATACAAGTAGTTTCTCCAGTCTGTCCATGTGAGTCTCTACTACGTTTTGGCTTTGGCAGGAAGCCTGCTGAGAATGGTCAAGTTCATATGGACTACAGTAACTTTCCCACCTCATACCTACCATCCAGGCTTCATTGAGTGCTGCACAGCTTCCTGTGAAGGCACAGCTGGGTGACATCAGTTCTTTCCAATTCACAAACACAGGTCAACTTCCTTATCCACAATTAAGTTCTGACCTGCATTAAATAAATAGCCTGTGCAGAGAGGGAATGCAAAAGGGTTTTTTTCTTAATAGTTAAAAATTATATTTTGAAAAGTGTGTGACTGCTTTGCACATGCTAAATGAGCAGGCAACTCATTAGACTTTTTAAAACATCTATATTAAATATTACTGATTTATTTTTAGGGAAGCGAACTCCCTGGAGGGGGATCCTTCTGTTTGGACCTCCAGGAACAGGGAAATCCTACTTGGCAAAAGCTGTTGCAACAGAAGCTAACAATTCTACATTCTTCTCTGTATCATCTTCACTCCTTCTCTCAAAATGGTTGGGAGAGAGTGAAAAGTGAGTAGTAACTGATCAAACAATTTTAAATATTTGGAATCTTCGATCTATATGTAAGCTTAAGTAGCCTATATTTGCCTAGCATAGAATGCTCGAAGTAGATATAAAAATAATTACATTGCAGAGCCAGAGCAGGCAAGCTGCCACTGATATCTGAGTAGAATTGCAATAGATCTTCTGGCATAAAGCATGTCTTCATCCCCCACCCCAATTTGTTATGTTCAGTCTATGCTGGAATCCTAACCACCAGAACATATGTGTATCTCTGGTTAATGTATCCTTGTAAGGACTAATTCCATTCTCAATCGCTCACTCGTGCATCACATGCATCACTCAAACCAGCAAGACACAATTTATAATAGTTTTGTTTTTTTAAGGATTGTTCAGTTACAGGTACATGCACAGGAAAAAATCAGATTTATAATCCTGAATTTCCTACTTAGGAAGGATTAAAATAGTGGAGTCTATGAAATAATTTACCCTTCTGTGCAGGTGTAAAGAAAAGCTGATGGCTTCCAACCTGTCATGAGCATTGATGGGAAAGTACTAGGAGCTAAGATACCTTGTTGGGGAGAAAACTGAATGCAGAGCTGAATGAACAGCTGAATTAGCTAATTCTTTTTCCTGCCTCTTCTTATACTATTCAGCAGAACAATGTGCTGATCTCTGACCAGCAATTTTCAATGCCTGAACAGCAATGTCTAGATTTGGATCCAGATTTAGACATTATTACAATTTTATTCTCTGCTTGGAAGGGGGCATTGGGACAAATTGTCATCTTCTGTTCTCTGAAGTGTTCAGATAACTGTTCCATAATATTTTCATCAGAATGAGCATTTTGGCTTTGGATTACTGGGTCTCATGTGCTCTCAACCATTCACTGCTCATATTTGATAAAATAGTGCTGGTCTGGAATGGATTAAATGCAAGTTTTATGCAATTTTTATGTGTTCAATGGGTAAGATAAAGGAGGGAATAAAAAGATTTTTGGTGATTAAAGAGTAAGGATAAAATGAGCCAGAAGGAAGGAAGACTGATCTGATAAATTTCTCTGGTGTATTATTCCCAGAAACATGTCTGCTTTACAATTTATTTATTTTAGAAATTTATAAAGCCATCCAACTCTACAATTCCTGTAATCACTATCACAGATGTTTTTCCTATTTCTGCATAATTTAAACAGTGCTATGTTCTTTAGCTACATAACTGCATTGCAAAAAGGGTGTTTGATCTACTGATCATTGAGAGCTGTCCAAGAATTTGAGCCTTCACAATTTAATTTGTGAAAATGTGTATAAAGCAATTGGATGAAAGTCATTTTTATCTGAATGACTGATACCTAAAGTAAAATTTAGTAATAAAGGCTTTAAATGCCTTACTACATTTGGTAGATGGATATTTTAAAAATATGGTTCTCTTGCTGTGCTTTATCACTACATTTTCTTTAATATAATTTAAATTGCTCCATAGGCTAGTGAAAAATCTATTCCAACTTGCCAGAGAAAACAAGCCTTCAATTATCTTCATTGATGAAATAGATTCTTTATGTGGTTCCCGAAGTGAAAATGAAAGTGAGGCAGCTCGGCGAATTAAAACAGAGTTTTTGGTTCAAATGCAAGGTAAGATTATTAATCTCCAGACGTGGTTGGTTAAAATAATTAAAAGCATGTGTGTATATTACATAATGGCTGTAAAATATTGTAGTTTTTAACCTAGCATGCATCAGCCTGCTTAATAAAATCTGTGGAGTTGAAAGTTTAATAGTGTATTTATCTTGTAATTTCTTTATGTTATACATTCTATTAATGGACAATTATCATATTGACTTATTTTTATTAGGAGTTGGAACAGACAATGAAGGAATTTTGGTTCTTGGCGCTACAAATATACCTTGGGTTCTAGATTCTGCCATAAGAAGGAGGTAAAGAATGGATGTACAAATAAATTGATTACTGTCCTGTGGTTTGAGCCTGGATGACTCATAGTTTCAGAGCACTTTGGATTGGAAAACTGGTTATACATCACAGATAAAGCATTTCCTTGTTCATGTGAACAGCACATTTGGACATCAGCATCAATGAGCTGTTATTTTATCAATATTAAAAATGGTGATGGGTAGTGTAACATTACATTCTTGTAATAAAGAGGGATAGAACATTTTGTTCCACTTTATAGGTGTATTTTCCCATTAAAAACATTATTTTTCCATAACAGGAAGCCATGACTAAAAGAACACTGGGACTGAAGCTCAAACTTGGCAAATGATGCTGGGAATATTCTGGTTTGGTGCTTATTCCCAGTTGTGGTTTGTTGAACCAGGAATGTTACATCCCAAAGGACCTCTTACATTTACTTCTTTATTTCTGTCTTGCAAAAACTGTTGATAACGTTTAACTTGATAGAGGAATGTGACAGTCATGTTGAGCGGCTTTTGTTAATGTGTGGAAAACTACAGATTTCTACCTCAAAACCTTAGGCAAGCGGTAGTGTTCTCTTCTGTCTTAAAGTCTTGGGTTCAAAAACAGACTGGAAATCTTCTGAAATGTTAGGCTGTGTTCCAATCTGACAAGACAGGATGAGAGTTCAAATGTTAATGGGAAGGACAGCAAATACTTTATCAAAGTTTTTCATGTTTTAAGAATCTGAATTATACTGTGCATGTAATTTAATACATAAGTATATGAAACAGTAAGCTGTTCATTTCTGATTCAGTATAATCGTTTTTTGTCTTATTCATAGTACAGATTTTTCTTCTAGCCTTCACATGTGTGATCCTTGGGGAAGATTTCTGTCTTAAGCTGACAAAAAAGTGGGATAATAATTTAAAAAGCCAAAAGAACAATTGAGTTGCTTTCTGAAATGGGATGATATTGCTGATTCACATCTTTCATTTCAGAGTTAAATTTTCAAAAATCATTATAAAAGAGTAGCTGTTTAAGAAAAACAAATCTGAAATGCTATACCGTGGCCATGGATAAATGTTGGTGTTTCTGATTTTTTTAATAAGGTTTGAGAAGCGGATTTATATTCCCTTACCTGAAGATCATGCAAGAGCTGCAATGTTTAAGCTTCATCTTGGGACTACTAAAAATACCTTGACCGAATCAGATTATCGGGAACTTGGAAAGCGAACTGATGGCTATTCCGGTGCTGATATCAGCGTCATAGTACGTGATGCTCTAATGCAACCTGTTAGGAAAGTTCAATCAGCAACACATTTTAAAAAAGTGAGTAGTTGAACTTCTTTTCTTTTTGCCAAGGATAAAAAAAAAATTGCCTAAGGGACATGGTCTCATCTCTGAGATCATACCATGTCTCTGAAATGCAAGCATGAACTCAAGGAGTTCCTCATTTCAGTCTAAACAAACCTCCATCCCTAAGTTCTGTTCTTAGAGCAGGAGGGGGTGAATGAAAGCAACAATTAATTCATTAATTAACTCAAACGTCTTCACTACAGTTTAGTTCTATAGGTTGTGGGGGTGGTTGTTTTTGTTTGTTTGTTTGTTTAGTTTTGTGGACCTCAGCTTTAAGAATTAGGACCTGTTCCTAAATCTCAGAACTCTTGGGGCGGCGGGAGCTGTTGGAAATGCTAGTGAAATTATTAAGTAAAATATCCTCCTGCCTTTCCTAACCTCTTCAACTACTACCTCTAAGTTCTCTTGCTGTTACTAGAGGGGTATGTTTGGTTCGGAAATATGTTAGCGTTCACCACACCTGGGCAATATACAACAGCATGATGCAAAGATGGCAGGGGGGTTTCTTAGTCTAACAGTTGTATTGTTGCCAACACCTGCCTTACCTTGTCTGGGCTTGAAACTAGCAGGGTCAGGGCTGGTTAGTACTTGGATAGGAGACTTCCAGGGAATTCCAGTGCTATAAGTTAGACTGGGAAGTTGGAAAAGGAGTCTTGGAAGAAAGCAGTAGCAAACCACTTCCAGATTGCTGCCAAGAAAGCTACATGGACTTCACTATGAAGTCGGCAGGAACTGAGTTTGTGTCAGGCCTATCCCAAGGAACTCCAAGAGACAATGCAAAATCAGTTCAGTTATGTTTATTAGCTACAACCTCTAGCAAGAATCTTCTGTTGAGCAGAGTACAGCAGTGCTCCCAGAAACCCTTTGCCTTTGAAAAATACACACCAGCATGATAGGTTTGCAAACTGCAGTGTCCATATCTTGTTCTCCAAAG